ACAACTCACCATAATGCACTATTTGCAGCCACTCCCCAGCGCTGGCATCACTGCCTCAGCTCCACCTCAGATCATCAGGCATTAGATTCTCATAAGGAGTATATGATCTAGGTCCCTCACATGTGCAGGCTACAACAGGGTTCGCTGCTGATCTGACAGGAGGCTGAACTCAGGTCCTAATGCGAGTAATGGAGAGCTTTGGTCACCACTCACTCCTTACCTCCTGCTGTGCAGCCAGGCTCCGAATAGGCCACAGATTGGTACCAGTTGTGGCCCTGGGGATAAGGGGCCATAGATGGTGTGCTAACATGTATCTTTTCTCAACCCTGTGTGCAGTCATGTCAGATTGGAAACTTGAGTATTTCTTTAGCTTTTGTTTTTGTTTTAATTACTAGAGGGCACAAGTATTAGCTAGAGAGAGACAACAAGAGAGAAACCACCCCAAATAGGGTGTGGTCATGCCATGATCCCTTCTCCATTTCTTCATCCTTTTGGGATGTGAGGTATGCACGCACATGTCCCTGGTAGGATTTTCTAGCCCCTAGGACTAGGTACAAACTGTAGTCAGCTTTGTGGTCTCTGGCTCTCTTAACCAGTAGGCTACAGGGCTGGCCCAGAAACTTGAGTACTTACATCCTAAAAATCAACAAATGCCACAAACCAGGGATTCCTTAGCCCATCCCAGTTAAGAACTGGTTGTTAATGTTTATCAGCAACCACTGGATTCAAGAAATAATAATTTATTAATACCACTCCCAGGTATATACTTAAGAGAACAAAAAACACATGTCTCAAAAATCTTGTACTTGAATGTACAAGTATTACACATAAGGGAACCAGCAGTTAGTGTAATGGCTATGTCGCTGGACTCCCACGTAGTCAACTGCGGTTCACGTCACAGACCCGGTAGCTTAAAACTCACGCCGGGGCGCGTGTGCGCGTGTGCCCAAGATCCCGAGAGGAAAATGGAGGAGAAGGGATTGTGGCGTGACCATCTCCCCTGGGGGGTGATTTCTCACTTTCTGTCTCTATGTCTCTCTCTGTCTGTCTGGCGAGTGCATGTGCCCTATAGCGAAAATCTCTCAAAAAAAAAAAAAAAACCCAAAGTATTACACATAATAGCTCAAAGGTGGAAACAACCCAAATGTTGATCAATTAATAAATAAAATCTGGTAAATCCATACAATGGAGTATTATTCAGCCTTAAGAAGGAATAAAGAACTAAAACATGCTACAACCTGGATGAACCCTGAAAACATGCTAAAGTGAAAGAAGCCAGATATAAAAGACCACATATTACATGATTCCATGTATATGAAATTTGCAGAATAGAAAAACCCATAGAGACAGAAAGTAGATTAGTGGTGCCTAAGGTTTAGGAGTGAGGGAAGGGGGATAAACTGGTAATGGGTATGGGATTTCTCTATGGAATGACAAAAATGGTCTAAAATTAGTAGGGATGGCTGCACCAATTTGTGAATATACTAACAGTCATTGAGTTGCACACATTAAAAGGGTGAACTTTAAGGCCAACAAATGGTGTCATGGTTAAGTCGCTGGACTCCCTCACGGCCAACGGTGGTTCAAGTTCTGGACCCAGTGGCTTGAAAATCATGCTGGGCACATGTGCATGCATGCCCAAAATTCTAGGAGGAGAATGGAGGAGGAGGGATTGTGGTGTGGCCATCTCCTCTGAGGGACGATTTCTCAGTTTCTCTCCACTGTCTCTCTCTCTCTCTCTGGCTGGTGCAGGTACCTATGGCAAAAACCTCTAAAAAAAAAAAGTGAGTTTTATCGTATATGAATTATACTGCAATTAAAAGAAAGGAAGAAAAGTAGGCAAAGAAGTTGGTATGCAGGTTTACACATCTGAATAAACATATTTGGGCTGGATAATGGCACAGTGGGAAGGTTCTGGGTCCATGTTGAGGACCTTCCTGAGTACTATGATACATATCTGCCCATGATCCAGGCTAGCTGAAGCTGGGGTTGGGTTGTGGCACCGAAACCCTGTTAGGGGAGGGCAAGCAAAGACAATAAATAGCAAATAAACAAAACACAACAAGGAGAAAAAACACCTCAATATATCACCAGAATGAGAAATATGAACTTGCCTAACAAAAAGACAAAAACTCTCAGACTGGACTTTTCAAGGTTCCGTTGAATATTGACTATGAAAATACATTTCAAAGATAATGAAAGGCCAGTCAGTGGCATGGTGGTTAAGGCAACTGGACCCCACATGGTGACTACGTGGTCTGAGTCCCAGACCAGCGGCTTGAAAAACACACTAGGCACATGTGCATGCATACGCAAAATCCCCAGAAGAGAATGGAGAAGGGACTGTGGTATGGCCATTCCCCTGGGGGATGCTTTTTCACTTTCTCTCTCTCTGTGTCTTTCTCTGATGAGCACGTGCACACTATGGAAAATCCTAAACTTTTTTTTTTTAATCAAAAGATAGTGACACACGGGACCAGCAGTTAGCGTAATGGCTATGTCACTGGACTCCCACGTAGTCGACCGCGGTTCGAGTCCCAGACCCGGTGGCTTAAACTCATGCTGGGTGCGTGTGCGTGCGTGCCCAAGATCCCGAGAGGAGAATGGAGGAGGCGGGATTGTGGCATGGTCATACCCCCTGAGGGGGGCGATTTCTCACTTTCTATCTCTCTGTCTCTGTCTGGCGAGCGCATGCACCCTATAGCAAAACAAAACAAAACAAAAAACCTCTTAAAAAAAAAAAGATAGTGACACAGAAATGTTAAAAGAACAGGGAAAATAGGGACTGTCTCCTTAGCCAGTGGTTACATGAGCTGGATCCTACATTGCCTTTGTGGTTTGAGTCCCAGACCTAGCAGCTTGAAAACATACCAGGCCTTTGTGTGTGTACCTAAAATCCCAACAGGGATTTAATGAAGAAAATATTTGCAAATAATAGATCATCTGATAAAGTTCTCATCTCCAGAATGTATAAAGAACCACAACAAAAGACAAAACAAGCCAAATATAAACAAAGGACTTGAACAGACCCTTCTTTCTTTTTCTTTCTTCCTTCCTTCCTTTCTTCTTTTTTTCTTTTTTCTTCTTTTCTTTCTTCTCCCTCTTTCTTTTCTTTCTTTCTTTCTTATTCTCTCTCTCTCTCTTTCTTTCTTTCTTTCTTTCTTTCTTGAGGTTTTTTCCTTAGGGCACATACGCTTGCCAGAGAAAGAAAGACGGAGATAGAGAGAGGAAAGGTATGAAATCACCCTCCCTCCCTGGGAGGATAGCCATGCCACAATCCTTTCCCCATTTTCCTCCCAGGATCTTGGGCACATACACACACACATGCTCAGTATGAGTTTCAAGGCACAGGGTCCGAGACTTGAACAGTGGTCAGCCATGTGGGAGTCCAGGGATATAACCACTATACCATCTGCTGTCCCAAAACAGACATTTCTTTAAGGAAGACATACACACAGCTAAAAGACAGATGAAAAAATGCTCAACATAATTAATCCTTAGGAAAATGAAGTGAGATACCACTTCACACTCACTAGGATGGATATAATAAAAAATTTAAAAAGGGAAGGAAAATAAGTATTTGGGAGAATATGGAGAAATTGGAACTCTTGCTTCATACATTGTTGCTGGGAATATAAAGTGGTATAACCACTATAAAAAACAGCCTGGTGAGGGACCAGTAGTTGGCGTAATGGCTATGTCACTGAACTCCCATGTAGCCAACTGTGGTTCAAGTCCTGGACCTGGTGGCTTAAACTCACGCCTGGCGTGTGTGTATGCATGCCCAAGATCCCAAGAGGAGAATGGAGGAGAATGGATTTCGGCATGGCCACCCCCCTCCCCACAGGGAGTGATTTCTTGGTTTCCACCTCTCTGTCTCTCTCTGTCTTTCCAGAGAGTGCACGCACCCTACAGCAAAAATCTCTCTCAAAAAACAAAAACAAAAACAAAAACAAAAACAAAACAAAACAAACAAAAAACAGCCTGGTGGTTTCTCAATAGGTTAAACATAGAAAATTACCATGTGAGGCCCAGCCACAATCACATGCACTGGAAGCAACTGCTCTGCAGGCTGAGGCCACATGGGAGGCCTGGGTTCAATTCCCAGCTCACACTGAAAAACTAGGTCTGGTAGGGCACACCTGTAGTCCTAGCTACGCAGGAGGCTGACGCAGGAGGATAGTGAGCTTATGGCCAATCTGGGCAACACAGCAAGACCCTGTCTGAAAGAGCTGGGCATGGTGCCATGTGCCTGTGGTCCCAGCAACTTGGAAGACCAAGGCAGGAGGATTGTGACAAGGCAGGAGGATTGTGACAAAGCAAGTCCTGCTTAAAAATAAATAAATAAAATAAATAGAATTATAATATGATCCAGCAATTTCACCCCAGGTATATACCTGAGGGAATTGAAAACAGGTATGTAAACAAAAACTTGTACAGTCCTATATCACTCAACAGGAACGTATTCTGAGAAATGAGTTGTTACGCAATTTTGTGCTTACACAACCCTGGATGGTGTAGCCGACTGTACACCTGGGCTATACAGGATGGCCTATGGCTCTTCTATCATATGTGGGGAGGGGGGGGCCTCACAAAAAGCTCACAGAAAATGCATATTATGAAAAATTACATGGATTTCAATTTTTCTTTTGCACCAAAATGACCTTTTTTTTTTTTTTTCCTTTTTAAGAGAGATTTTTGCTATAGGGCACACGTGCTTGCTAGAGAGACAGTGCGGAGAGAGAAAGCGAGAAATCACTCTCCCTCCAGGGGGATGGCCATACTGTGATCCCTTCTCCTCCATTTTTCTCTCAGAATGCTGGCACACATGCACATGTGCCTGGTGTGAATTTTAAGCCACCATCCATGTCTGGAACTTGAATCTCTGTCAACTGCATGGGATTCCAGCAACATAACCATTACACCAACTGCTGGTCTCTGAACTCATACTTTAATTCCATTTTCTAAGAACTACTTGTATAGGGACAACGGAGATAAATCCTGGGAACCATGCTTCGGCCTGTCAGGAATTTGAATTTAGAGTTCAGTTTCTCAGAACAGTCTCTCCAGGAAGAATTTTACAGTATCATACAGACTTCACTTCTTGATCAAGAAGTCCTGAGGGAAAAGAAATGGGTCGCTCCAATTCTAGATCACATTCTTCAAGATCAAAGTCTAGATCACAGTCTACTTCTCGATCAAGATCACGATCACACTCTAGAAAGAAGAGATACAGATCTAGTTCCAGGACATACTCAAGATCTCGTAGTAGAGACTGTATTTATTCTAGAGATTATCGTTGCGATTACAGAAATAATAGAGGAATGAGACGACCTTATGGGTACAGAGGAAGGGGTACAGGACATTACCAAGGAGGAGGAGGTAGATACCATTGAGGTGGTTATAGACCTGTTTGGAATAGAAGGCATTCTCGGAGTCCTAGACAAGGTCATTCACGTTCCAAGAGTCCAAAAAGAAGATCTGTTTCTTCTCAAAGATCCCAAAGCAGATCTCACGGGTCTTATAGATCCTCTAGGTCTCCAAGATCATCATCTTCACGTTCTTCATCCCCATATAGCAAATCCCCTGTCTCTAAAAGATGAGGGTCTCAGGAAAAACAAACCAAAAAAGCTGAAGGGGAGCCCCAAGAGGAGAGTCCTTTGAAAAATAAATCACAAGAAGAACCAAAAGATACATTTGAACATGACCCATCTGAATCAATTGATGAGTTTAATAAATCATCGGCCATGTCTGGTGATATTTGGCCTGGCCTTTCAGCTTATGACAATAGTCCCAGATCACCCCATAGTCCTTCACCTATTGCTACACCACCTAGTCAGAGTTCATCTTGTTCTGATGCCCCCATGCTCAGTACAGTCCACTCTGCAAAAAACACCCCCTCTCAGCATTCACATTCCATTCAGCATAGTCCTGAAAGGTCTGGGTCTGGGTCTGTTGGAAATGGATCTAGTAGGTATAGTCCTTCTCAGAATAGTCCAATTCATCATATCCCTTCACGAAGAAGTCCTGCAAAGACAATCACACCACAGAATGCTCCAAGAGAGGAGTCTAGGGGACACTCTTCATTTTATCATGATGGTGGGGATCAGGAAACCACAAAGACTGGAAAGTTCTTAAAAAGGTTCACAGATGAAGAGTCTAGAGTATTCCTGCTTGAGAGGAGAAGTACCAGGGATAAAGAGACTCCAAAGGAAAAAGGATCAGAGAAAGGCAGGGCAGAAGGAGAATGGGAAGATCAGGAACCTCTAGATTACTTCAGTGATAAAGAGTCCGGAAAACAAAAGTTTAATGATTCAGAAGGGGATGACACAGAGGAAACAGAGGATTATAGGCAGTTCAGAAAGTCAGTCCTTGCAGATCAGGGTAAAAATTTTGCTACTGCATCTCATCGGAATACTGAGGAGGAAGGACACAAGTACAAGTCTAAAGTTTCACTGAAAGGCAGTAGGGAAAGTGATGGATTTAGAGAAGAAAAAAATTATAAACTTAAAGAGACTGGATATGTAGTGGAAAGGCCTAGCACTACAAAAGATAAGCACAAAGAAGACGACAAAAGTTCTGAAAGAATAACAGTAAAGAAAGAAACTCAATCACCTGAGCAGGTAAAGTCTGAAAAGCTCAAAGACCTCTTTGATTACAGTCCCCCTTTACACAAGAGTCTGGATGCACGGGAAAAATCTACCTTCAGAGAGGAGAGCCCACTTAGGATCAAAATGATAGCTCATCGTTCCGGAGAATCGACATCTCTCCAAGTGCCCTGAGGAAGCATACCCATTTAGCAGGAGAAGAGAGAGTTTTTAAAGAAGAAAATCAAAAGGGAGATAAAAAATTAAGGTGTGATTCTGCTGATCTTCGGCATGACATTGATCGCTGTAGAAAAGAAAGAAGTAAAGAACGGGAGGATTCCAAGAGTTCCAGGGAATCCAGTGGATCAAGAAAGCAGGAAAAAACTCCAAAAGATTACAAGGAATACAAATCTTGGTTCACTTCATATCAGAAAGCCACCGAAGAACATAGTACCCGGCAAAAGAGTCCTGAGATACACAGGAGAATCGACATCTCTCCAAGTGCCCTGAGGAAGCATACCCATTTAGCAGGAGAAGAGAGAGTTTTTAAAGAAGAAAATCAAAAGGGAGATAAAAAATTAAGGTGTGATTCTGCTGATCTTCGGCATGACATTGATCGCTGTAGAAAAGAAAGAAGTAAAGAACGGGAGGATTCCAAGAGTTCCAGGGAATCCAGTGGATCAAGAAAGCAGGAAAAAACTCCAAAAGATTACAAGGAATACAAATCTTACAAAGATGACAGTAAACACAAAAGAGAGCAAGATCATTCTCTATCTTTATCCTCTTCGGCCTCACCTTCTTCTCCCAGTTCTAGAGAAGAAAAGGAGAGTAAGAAGGAAAGAGAAGAAGAATTTAAAACTCACCACGAACTGAAAGAGTACTCGAGTTTTGCGGGAGTTAGCTGACCACGAGGAACCTTCTTTCGAATTAGAGGCAGAGGAAGAGCCAGAGGAGTTTTTGCTAGGACAAATACTGGTCCAAACAACTCAAATACCACTTTTCAAAAGAGACCAAAGGAAGATGAATGGGATCCAGAATATACCCCAAAGAGCAAGAAGTACTTCTTGCATGATGACAGAGATGATGGTGTGGATTATTGGACCAAAAGAGGAAGAGGTCGAGGTACTTTTCAACGAGGCAGAGGGCGCTTTAACTTCAAAAAATCAGGTAGCAGTCCAAAGTGGACTCATGACAAATCCCAAGGGGTGGGATTGTTGAAGATGAAGAAGAGACCATGGATAATAATGAAGAAAAGAAAGACAGACGCAAAGAAGAAAAGGAATAGAAAATTTGAAGTAAGACTGCAAAAGAGAGCAGAACTTGGCACCCACCATTTTTTACCTGATTTTTTTTGTTTGTTTTCAAATAAGAATGTAAGCATTTTACTTAAATTTTACTGTTTGCAAGTAGTCTAGAAATTTTGTTTTAAGTCTTCAAATATCTTGAAAAATAGTAGATTGTATGTTGAAAATTGTACTGAAATAAAAGTAGAGAATTGTTACGTATCATATTTGTAACTATCACTTTTAAAAAGAACTTTTACTGTTTTTGTTACATGCATTGTAATTTTGCTTTGTCTATAAGATATGGTCAAGTACAGCTCTGTGAAAGTTCTGATTCTCTTCCCTCCCTGTTTGTTAATGTTTTATTCTGAAGTAAACATTAGCTCTACATACAAATCTACATACAAATACGAATTGCTTATAGATGCCACACTAATTATTTTAACTATACAGCTGATTAACATCCTCTTTATTTTGAACACACTACTTCATAGGGTGACTAATTTTTGAAGTATACCTCAAAATTAACTTTGGTAAATTAGTTTAACACTTAAGGAAATGTTTAAAGAGGCAGAACAGCCAATGCTAAAAAATTCAAGTGATTACAAGATTGAAAAACTTGAAAAAATGTTATTTTTACTGAAGGTGAGCAGTGTCCTAAGAAAACTGTTTTAAGGAGTCTTTTCTATTTGGGTTCAAAATTCAGTGTTCTCTTTCTGTTCTTATTTGATAGTTTGAGTCATGGTCTAGATATCAGCTATTAGAGAAGTGAAACTGGTTTGTAATAAAATGCCAATGAAAACCCCATCCCCACTGAACATCTTAGTATTGAGAAAACAAAAGAACAAACTTGTGATCTGATGTGGGTATGGTGGAGGATTTTCCTGCAGGATAATTTGTATATTAATACTTGTTTTTATATCATATTTATTTGAGGCTTTTGACAGCTGAAATATTAGTTTGTAGTGTAACCATAAACAAAAAGACACAAACACAGCATATTGTAATTTACTTTTTAATGTCAACAATAAAAAGTTTTGGCAGGAACCTGGTTTGCAACATTGATCTAATTTGGTTTTTATATTTTCCCCTATTTTCAAATAGTAGCAGCTTGTAAAATGTTTTTTCTTTTTCTTTCCAAGGGTTCTATTCTTTGGATAGATGATCTCTCAAGTGTGAATTAACCTTTTATGTTTTTGATGATGGTTTTTATATTAATGAAAATCTGAAATAGAACATTTCAGAGATAAGTTTATGAGCTTGTATAGAACTAGCCACAATTCCTTTGTTAATTCAGCAACCAAATTACTACAGTTCTATATGTTTGCATTTAGAGGAGATACTACTTAATGTAATGTAAATCATTAAAGATCTTATGTGTTTGGCTCTTTCATCCTCACTTTTGATGATTGATAATGCAGCTAGCACCTTGATTACAGCCAGGATCGCCAGGATCATTTGCTAAGAACTATTGGAAACAAAACAAAAGTATATCTATACTCACTTTGTGATGCTTTGGCCCTAGGATATCCTTAGTATTGCGTGGTTTACCCTGTTACTTTTGTGTGTCTGAAATTGTCAGAGGAAGTACAAAGCCAGTATTCATTGCATTAATCAGGACATAATACTTATATTCTGAATAATACTTATTACATCTAAAGCAAAAACCCCCCCCCCCCCCCAAAAAAAAAGAGAACCACTTGTATACGCAGTCTGTCATTGACCAAAACATTATGTAGGGGATGTTTGGACATACGTGTTCATAGCAGCACTATTCACAATAGTCAAAAGGTGGGAAGGGCCCTAATAGCTATTAATGGAAGAATGAATCAGCAAAATGTGGTACATCAATATAATGGGATATTATTCACTCCTAGGAAGGATGCACTGATACATGCTATAATATGGATGGATTATTATTCGTATTTTTTAGATTTTTGCCATAGGGCACATGCGCTCACAGGAGAGAGACAATGAGAGGGAAAGTGAGAAATCACCTCCCCCCAGGGGATAGCCACGCTGCAATCCTTTCTCCTCCATTCTCCCCCTGGGATTGTGGGCATTCGCACACACATACCCGGTGTGATTTTCAAGCTGCCAGGTCAAGAACAAGAAATGTGGTCTGCCATGTGAGAATCCAGCACCACAACCACTGGCCCCCAATATAGATGGATCTTAAAAACATTATGCTAAGTGAAAGAAGCCAGATGCAAAAGGCCACATAGAGGAAGATTCAGTTTATATAAAATTTCCTGAATAGGCATATCCATAGAGACAGAAACTGCTCCAGGGGCAAGGGTAAGAGGGAATGAGAAATGACTTAAGGTTTCCTTTTGGGGTGATGAAAACATCTGGAAGCAGACAGTGGTGATGATTGTGCAAGACTGAATGTACTGAATGCCACTGAAACATATACTTAAAAATGATTAAAACAACAAATTTCATGTCAATTTTATCATGATAATAAAAAGAACTACCACAAAAGTCCCTTTCTTTGTTCATCCTAGCACTGAGCAGTTCCAGGAAGATTTACTCTGGATGCAGGGGTTACAGAGAAGGATCAGATGTGGTCTTGCTTTTGAGGAGTTCATGGGCTGGTAGAAGAAAAGATAGTTAGCACTGGAGCTCCCTTGACATACAGGTGCATTGCACACTGCAGGGAAGGGATGGGCTGGAGAGAACAGCAAAGGCAAGGCTGAGTAGGAGTTTGCAGGTGAGTGGCAGTCAGGAGGGATTCCAGGTAGTAGGTGTAGTGGGTAGAGTGAGCCCAAAAAGTTGAATCCAAACTCCACCCCAAATAGCATATGTGCAGTATTGGGGATGAACTACAGGACAGTGAGGTGACAGATGGGTGGACAACCCCGTCCCGTTGCAGTAGGGGAATGTTAGAGAAATGATGTGGACCTGTCAGAATATGAAGGTCAAAGAAATTGTGATTGCAAGATTGGGCCACCTGGTGGGTGGCAGGTACTGCCAGTCCCCAAGGTGAGCCTGAAGGATGTTCTGTTATCAGGAAACAAGGAACTACAATAGAATATATAACTCCCTATACTAACTCCTTTACCTCATCTTATGTATTCTACTACTGATTTTAAAATTTTATTTTAATTTTAGGTTTTTACCATAGGTTGCATGCACTCTCCAGAGAGGGAGACAGAAAGAAAGAGAGAAGATGAGAAATCACCCCCAGGGAAGATGGCCACATCGCAATCCCTTCTCTTCCATCCTCCTCTCAGGATTTTGGACACACACACACACATGTGCTTGGTCTAAGACTCGAACCATGATCAGTCATGGGGGAATTCAGCACCTTAATCATCATACCACTTGCTGGCCCCACTGCTGATTTTTAAAAATTGTCAAATGGCACATGTGTTTGCTAGAGAGCAGCCATTCAAAGGGGTGTGGTCTTGGTGCAATCCGTTCTCCATTTTTCCATTCTGTTGGGATTTGGGGCACATACGTACAAGTGTTCAATGTGTTTTTCAAGTCACTGGATTCAGGATTTGAACCATGGTTGGCCATGTGGGATTCAGAGGCCTTAACCACTAGCTATGGGGCTGGCTTCATGTATTCAGCTATTTTAAATATATATATTTTCTTATTTGAAGCCTACTTCCCTCTCCCTTGGGCCTTTTTTGTTTTCTTGTTTGAAATATATGTTCCTATGGAAATGTCATGGCACAGTACAGTGGCATTTACAAGTGAAGTGTAAAGAACTTTCAGAGCATCTAGAAACACAGGATGGGAGTTTAGGGATATAAGCCCTAATTATGTGATAGCATGCATGACTTCAGACACTGTGTCATAAATGCAAACACACTAGGAAATCTGAGACAGCACAGAGGAGATAGTTGAGAGTTTTATTAGGATTTATGTGCCCAGATTAAAGCATGTATATGAGAAATATGAAAAACACAGAGCATAGCACACTGTTTGGGAAGAACATCTGGAAAAACTGAAGGACAGAATGCCAACATTTACTTATGAATGTACACCTCTGGAAGAAGAACCAGGGGACCTGGACACCCCAGGGAAATTTGGGAAAGAAACACTGTGCACCATGTTCTATGCTATAAATATGTTCCTTAAAAATGACATAAATCAACTGCTGGCAAATCATTTGTTAAGTGCAAGAGTGAGCACTATTTTAAAGATATCTTAAGAATGTTCATTTTAGTGAAGGAAATTATTACCAATGGAGTTAATAGAAAAAAAACTCACTGGATTAAGTGAGGTTCAAAGTATTTCAAAATTATCCTGGCTCTGCCACCAACTGAATGTGTGATTCAAGAAAAGTCACTCACCTTCCCCTGGCCAATTTCCTCATCTAATCTGGGTTGTAATTCTGTATTTTCACTTATTAGTTTTTTGTTTTGTTTTGTTTTGAACTAAGGCACAGGGCTAGCAGGCCCCAGCAAAATGGCCAGTCTCTCCTGAGAGGTACCACTCCACACTGAATCCCTGTGGGGAGAGCCTTGGGCCCTGTTGTATAGGAGGAGTGATAAATGACGCAGCAGCAGGTTACTGTCACACCGTCACTGTCATTCTGAGTGCTTGGCTTCTTCATACCCCACTTCCTCATCACCCTAAGTGGGATGATTCCAACTTTTAGCTCCAAATTCTTTACAAGAGCTTGTTGTTAGTTCTGTCCTCAGGAAAAGACTGATAAGGCTAGGGCCCACCTTTGGTACATCTCTGCATGGCTGGTCTTCATCCCCAGCAAACGAAGCTGGGCATTTCTGGGGCAAGGGCTGTACCTTCTCTGGGTCTAGTAGACCCAGGCCCAATGAAAGAATTCAGTGAATGATCGTCCACTGGATATTTCTCAAGAAGGAAGCTGAGACATGGTGATGGGTCTGGTGAAAGAGCCAAAAGTTCTGCCTAGTAGTGAACTTTTGGTGATTTTTTTTTAAGTTCTTTTTTTTTTTTTTTTCTCCATAGGGTGCATTTATTTGCCAGAGAGAGACAAAAATAGAGAAAGTGAGAAATCAACCCCTTGGGGGGAGAGTGGCCACACCTCAACCCCTCATCTCCATTTTCCTCTCATTGGGCGCGTATGCTCACGTGCTGAAGTGATTTTCAAGCCACTGGGTCTAGGACTTGAACTATGATTGGTCATGTAGCATTCCAGTGCCTTAAAAACCACGCTACCTACTGGCCTCCTTTTGGTAGAAACATTTCCAAACTTTCCAAATTTTCTACATGGGCAAAAATATCAA